GTCGTGAATCGATCCGTGTTTGGTGGTATTCCCCCAACTAAATTCAAATCCTTTCACCAACCCTTTCCGCATCACACTGATGTTGGACGTCTTGGGGTTGGGTGGGTTTGGGATTTGGCTGGGGCTTTCACCACGCAGTTTGCACCATTCGCTAAACAAGCTTTCAGTGTGAGCGAGGGCCCGCCATTTTCTTCCCATATATTTTTGGTCTCGAAATATATGTGAGATTTACATTGATTCGATCCTTATTGAATGTGCGACATATAAAGCTTGAACGTATACGGACAACAGGGGGAAACATGTATGTATGTATGTATGTATGTATGTATGTATGCACGTATGTATGTATGTAAAATGCTTCGCACGGGAGCGCGATTTTCGTCAAAATTTTCAAGACGCTCTGCGTGGGAGTGCGATTTTCTTCAAACTTTTCAGGGCGCCCCGCGCGGGAGGGCGATTTTCGTCAAAACTTTCAGGACGTTCCGCACGGGAGCGCAATTTTCATCAAAATTTTCAAGACGCTCCACACGTAGGGGAGCGCGATTTTCTTCAAAATTTTCAGGACGCCCCGCACGGGAGCGCAATTTTCTTCAAAATTTCAAGACGCTCCGCGCGGGAGCGCGATTTTGGTCAACAGAGAACGATCTTGAGCGGATCAGTTTGGTATAGAATTGGTATCGAAATTGTTCCTTAAACAATCAAAATTTGAACGACGAATCCGACGAATCCTATACCAAACCTATACCAAAACGTCCCGCCAAGAACCCCCCTCTTGAGAAGATAAATCGACAAAATTTCGACGCTCCGCACAAGAGCGCAATTTTGATCGATTTGAACGAAGATAAACGGACGAAATTTCCGGGACGTTTCGAGCGAGAACGCGATTTTTGAAGATACGAAGATGTTCAGAGGCTCGAAAAATCCAATTGTCTCGCGCGAGAGTGCAATTTTGGATATTTGATAAAGTCCGAAAAACGCGATTTTTTGAGGATGTCTCGAGCGAGACCGCGATTTTCGAAAATAAATTTTGCGTCCATTTCGCTTACGACCCCCCCTAGCAAGACTACTTTAAAGGCAATCTGGCCTCTCAGCTGGATTTATCATGGATATAAAAACGTTCATAAAAACGTTCATTTTTTCAAGATGTCTCGAGCGAGAGCGCGATTTTTGAAGATTCTTTGAAGATATGAAGATGCTCGAAAGCTCAAAAAATCTAACTGTCTCGCGCGAGAGCGCGTTTTTGAATATTTCATAAAGTCCGAGAAACGCGATTTTTTGAGGATGTCTCGAGCGAGACCGCGATTTTCGAAAATTAATTTTGCGTCCATTTCGCTTACGACCCCCCCTAGCAAGACTACTTTAAAGGCAATCTGGATCTCAGACGCAACATCATAACATTCACTTTTTTGAGGACATCTCGAGCGAGAGCACGATTCATTAAAACACCTCAGCGCGTCCAAAATGTTTGCGCGACGGAAGAGCACGCTGCGGGCACCGGGCGACGGCACATCGAAATGATTAGAATCCCACACTGAACGTGGGAAAAAATCGAATGTTATCGCGCGGGAGCGCAATTGTTGAAAATCCAAAATCTAGAAATTGAGGACGTCTCGCGCGGGAGCGCGATTTTGAAAAATTGAGCGCCGTCCCGGTCGCACCGGACTCCCCCCTGCCAAGAGGAATTTAAAGGCGATGGCCAAAATTTCTCAGATCGAGTATGAATCACACATCGTTGAAATTTCGAGGATGTTTCGCGCGGGAGCGCGAATTTTTGAAGATACGAACATCATCAACACGTCAAAAGAATCGAATTTTCTCGTAAGTAGCCCAATTTTTGATAATTTATAAAGTCCGAAGAACGCAAAATTTTCAGGATGTCTCGCGCGGGAGCGCGATTTTTAGAAAATGGCCGTGCCGTCCCGTTCGTTTACGACCCCTCTACCAGGAGGACTTTAAAGGCGATGGCTCCTAAGAGCACGCAGCGGTGGCGGGCGACGGAGCTAAAAACTAGAACCCCTCAACTAATGTGGGGAAAAATCGGATTGAGATATTCAGTCATGGATTGTATGTTGAATGTTTATGTTGACTTGAAATTCATTGGGCTTGCGATTCCCAATTTCTATTGAATTTATACTTTCGAAAGCAGACGTCCAGCGATGTGCGATGTGAAGCTTGTCAGCAGCGTTTCTCTGTTGCTTGATTTGATTGATATCGCTGCCGAAGGCATGGAACGGGCCAGATAAGCAGAGTCAGAGCAGCAGGGCTCAAAAAATTGCACGTTGCGGAGTGGTATTCAGTGAAAGTTGTGCCGCGCCACCTTGGGGGTGGCAGAGCTCTTCCCGCTGCGCTCGCAAGCTCGCAGTTTTCTGGGACACACCTGGCCCTGGCTGCTTCAGGAATCTTAAACACAGCGACGCACGGCCCCATCAAATTTGCAATTGCATTGGGTCGGACGTGGCCAAAACCTCGCACGAGGTCCCAGAGAAGAAACATGTTTCAGCCATCGGCATGGATGACAATTGCGTACATGGGCATGCCGCAACACGTGAAATTTCACCGTCATTGCGGATTTGGTTCCACGCAAAACCATTTTTTTTTTGGTGGCTGTCCCGCTGCAAAAAAAATCGAAAGTCACGCAGGAACCACAGCACATGCCACTCCTTTGCATTTGTTTTTTCAGCATGCGGCTCATATGGTCTGTTGAGGGTGCGAAAAAGCACCACAATATTGGCTTTATTACAAAGGTTGGAGGTGGTGCAAACAGTTCATTTCTGCTGACGTTTTCGCCTGACACCAACAGATCGTCAGTAACTTGCCTTCACGCCGACAGTAATCACAGTCTTTACAATGTTTCCAAGCACAACGTGCTCCCCTTTGCTGTGCAGCGCATATACACTTGCATTGGTTGGCGATGCTGCTTAGACGCATGTTCCTGCTTTCGAAGCTAGATGGCAGCTATGGTGCTGGAAAATTCTTTGGGTGGATATGAGGGCCTAGGGTGTATCTTGATATCCACAGCAATAAACATCAAAGCAATTGTCTTTACTTTTGGTGCTTCAGGCTAGATTTGGCATATCAACAAAGTGATCTGTCGCAAAAAAAACACATGCACATTGACCTCTGCCAACATGCCTTCAGACCTTGTGCAGCATATCCGCGATGTAACAAGCTTGTTGGGATGGAGCCCAATTTCATGTATATATATTGACGGTTCCGTGCAATGGAATTTTGTTCTACCACATGCTCACATTGAGTCATGGTGCCGCAGGCTAGTTGTGAAAAGGCCATTGCGAATAATTGCACTTTTTGTAATATCAAAATGAAGCCAAATTTCATTTTGATACCATTGCCACTTTAGGTGCTCACATGTCCTCACAGTCCATTTGTTGCAGTGACGGTGTATGAAGCGCCCAGCGGCGCGAAGCGTCAGTGGATAACATTTGAGAAGCCCGAGTTATGAACGTAGTCGGCTGCGGTGTGAGCGCTTTGTGGTACCTATGTTTCACCAAAAGCTTGTCAGGATTGAGCCCCAATTCAATGTGACTCATTCAGCCTGGTGGGAGTGGACTGCATCAGTTTCCTGTGACGTATTGACATAGACAGAATGGCATACTCATTAGTGGTTTTCACAGCGGATTGTAATCGTATTCGTTACCTAATCTTATGAGCTTGGTTTTTGAGCCTTCATGCGCGCCGTTATTCACAGAGCTTTCGATTCAAGGCTGATGATTTGACTACTGTTATTCTGCGTGTAGTTTTTGTTGTGCAGGCCAGCTGCATTGCTCAAGTGCTGTGTCTCACAGAATCCGCCATTGGTAGACATGCCGGAGATGAAGTTGGCGGACCAGGAACCTTTGGAGGAAAAGCTTGTGTGGTCCTGGCGATATGTGTCTGCGTGCATCCTTTTTCCTGTTGTGGGTGGGGGCATCAACGTTTTTATCTACTCAGGCTACTCGCTTTACTTCCGTGAGATGGGTTGGGAGCTATGGATCACTGGGGCAGTTGTTAGTCTGGGATCGATTGGGAGAATTTTCTTCCAACAGTTGCAGCTGCATCTTGGACTCTGGACAGCAGCACCGATGGCAGCCATTCATCTTGCCTTGGCCGCCCTTGTCACCATATACCCGGACAGACTTTGGGCTTTGATTGGTCAGCAGCTCGCCGTCCTCCTGTTTGACACCAACGTCCTAATGGAGGCCTTCTGCTTTGAGGTCTTCTCTGAATCCGAGACCGTGGCCCGCAAAGCGGCCTCTACAATGCTTGCCAGCTATACCGTTTCCTATGCCTGTTCCGCCACCTATGGTGGAATCATCTACGACGTCTGGAGCTGGCCAGGTATAGCCTGGTATCACACCATCGCAGCATCTTTGAACTTTCTGCTAATCATGACCATGCCTCCAGTGTGGAGTTCCTGGAAAAAGTTGCGAACACGAGGTGTGGCAGCCAGTTCCCAAGATATGAAAGAGACGCGCCAGCGTGCCGGTTCCGCGCAGAGTGATGACTCCTGCTCTTACACACATGTGACTCCACCTGTGGAGCTGCTGAATTGTGCAGTGCCATCTGAAAAGGAGCCGGCCACCAACCTGCCTGAAGAAGAGCAAAAGCCCAAACTCAAGGTGGAGTTGGAGCTGCAAGTCCCAGAGCCGGAGAAGCCCAAGAAGAGCAAAAGCAAGATCCCGGCCAATACCATGATGCCCGCATGCATGGTCTTTCTGAATGGCTTCATGAACAACTTCTCCTATGGCACCATTTGGATAACTTATGCAATCTTCTTTAAGGAGCACCATGGCTGGAATGAGGCGACTTGGGCAGGGATCACCCAGACGAGTGGCGACCTCCTTGCCGCCATCATCATTGCGTTGCCCTTGAAGCGCAACTAGATCAGGGTTCGGGAAGACTTTGTTCAGACCCATCCACAGATTCACACCTCAAAGTTAAGCTGTCCTCAATCCCAAACCCACAGTCCAAGCAAGATGGTGGACCTGAAGGAGGCGAAAGGCATGCGGTGGTTATGGTACGCGAGCACAGGCCAACCCTATAAGGTGAGCTGCTTGATGTTGATGTGGGCGCTCTTGAATGTGGGGATCGCCAACTCCTTGCTGCCCGTGTCCATTGCGGCGCAGGTGCATCATTTTGGAATCACAACAGCTTTTTAGTTATACCAGTCGCAACAACCAAATGAATGGTCAGTGATACTAATGCCGCCGACTGGACTGTGCAGCGCAGGTGCTCATGGGAACGGTTTACACGTTCTGTATTAAAGCCAACAACGACCTCAGCGTCTTCTACTCTTTGGGCTCCACGGAAACTTTCTTAGCCATGCAAACGTTGGGCCGAAATGCCGAGTCGCTTGGTGCTTTCTTGGCAGGCCTTGTGGCTATGCAGCTCTATGAGGGGATTCATCCTGTTGCTCCCTTCTTCGCGTGCGCTGGAGTTACCTTTGTCATTCTGCTGCTCTATACGACATGCTTCTGCCGGCGGCTTGGTTTCGGGCAGAACATTGACGCAGCAGAGGAGGCGCGGTGCCAGCGCTTGAAGATCAACCGCGAGATTTCTTGGGGTTCGCGAGCATGATTAGCTCACCGAGTCATTAGGGCAGCTTGTTGCATTTACTTGTACAGCCCGTCAAATGCGAGATAGAACGCGTGCGTTGGCATCCGCAGATATCTTGCTTTTCCAACTCCGTCTGAACATGGTAGAAAATACCATGCAGGTTTCCTGTCAGTTCTTTCCGCTGGCAGCGGAGGCTTCAATTACCGTTTGTGTCCACGTGCTAGATTTGACGTCGAAGGGAGCGAAGCTGAATTGAGGCAGCTCTGTTCGGGAGACGTGCAGCCACTCCAAATGTCTTTCATACCCATGCCAGACAGTTGGAGTCAAGTGAGCCATAGTCTATACTCCTAGTATCCCCCTCACTTTCCCCTGTAGTGCTGCCCTATACAATCCCTTATAGAACTGCCTTTAAGGACTGTAGATTATGGCTCCAGTGCTTGGTGATTGCACATAGAGCAGAGCCGCGTTGGAGATCACGAGGCTTGCGCTTGACATCGCCCTTGACAGCTCAAATCTGGCAACGATGCCACAATCTTAACATATTAGTATTCTATGTAGTAGTGTTATATATATATATTAATATATTAGCGTATAATATAATAGATCATGTTACAGTATAACATGGAATAACATAACAAATTATAAACTTTCATACATTGGAAGAAATTAGGCAACTGCCTCGGTAACACCAGCAGCTTACGTCACAAGGGTGCAGCACATTGCTAGGTGGGGTGCGTTTCGAGCTGCAGTGTAACACAAGCTTGAACCATAAGATCACAATCATCGGTATTTCAACCCTTTCAACTTTGCCAGAGAGCACTCAACTTGCTGTTTCATTTTGTGAATTGGTGGGACAAAGTATTCGGATTGTGCGGATGGGCATGACATTGCTGATATGGTGGAGGCGCGCAGCTTTTGCATGCAGCAACGCAACGTCAATATCTAGATTTTTGCAGCCACATGCATGAATGATTGGCTGAAGTGTTGGGAGGCCCTTCCGACAGAACCATCCGGAGGCACCATTTGCCACTTCATTTTTGCTTCGGAGTCCGCATCAGCACACTTTGAACACGCTCTTGAACAACGGAGGCACAGGACCACCAGCACAATTAAGTCGTTTGGAGCAAGATGATCGTGAGGAGGACGAGGTATGCGCCAATAACATCCAATAACTGAGCATTTCTGGGGAGTTGGCAGTTTCTGGTAGTGTGGAGATTTTTTCTTTTTCAGGATGAGCCCTGCTGCCGAATATGCAGGCAAGGGGAAGAGGCCGCTATATAACATCTCAAGGTGCAAGACGCTAAATATGTGTTTTGTCCTGTAGAAAGTTTTCTATGTGAGATCGAGCGACTGATCAGGTTGGTAAGCTATATTGCCCATGCAGATGTGCCGGCAGTATCAAGTGGATACACGAGCATGGCGCTTGGAGTGCCTTGCGGGAGATGGCGTGATGACATTGCACGCATGTGTCAGAAAGTGTTTGTCTGTGTGTATTGCAATTATCCCAAGGGAATGTCTGCAAGCATGGCTACGGAGTCATGACAGGAAGACTGCTGCTGCCTCAGCAAAGGAAGCACAAGTCTCCGGTGCTGTGCCACACGCCCACCGCGGGAGGCCTGCGAGTTGTGCGGCCACTCCTTTGACTTCGTGCCGGTGTTCTGCTCAGTGGCTGTGCAAGTGTTGTTGACGATTCAAACGGAGTTTACAGGATGTGGCTGCTCATGAGGTTTACTCAAAGAATGCGCCTCAACGCCTGACCATCTCGGACTGGGCTGCTCAGCTTGAATAATGAAGCCCTGCTCGAGACGTCTGCTGCACTAAATGCATCGAATCGCCTTCGCAGGTGGGAGCCCTCTGCTCATCCTCCTATCGCGCTTCATGGGCTGAGTTGTGCCCATGGGAGGGAAACATGCATGACATCTGCAGGGCCGTGTAATTCTACATAGAGGCTGACACGTTCTAAGGCGAGAGCCTAGAAGACCCATGCAGAGAGCCTAGAAGACCCATGCAAACCTTTTTCTAGACCTGCAAAGTGTGATACAAACACTTGCCACGCCAAAGCTCCATGCTGCACAAAAGGTTGTGTCCAGCAAGATAGCTGCGATGGCCTCATGGCAGGTTGGTCATCGCGTCCTGCGCGTTCTCTATGCTTCCCGGCCTTTCTTTGCATAGGGCGTCAGCAAGAAAGTCCAAGTTACCCTTCTCTTTGAAAAGTACAGCTAGCAAGGAGAATAGGGGGACGTTTTGGCTGGACACAGAGCAGGGGCCAAGGAAAGCTTCCAGCCTTCTTGTCCCTTGAACTGCTTTCCTATCCAAGGCTATTGGACTTTGGGGTGCGGAACTCGGTGCAGACAAGTTGCTCACAGGGGAGAACCGAGCAGCTCTTGTCATAGGGACCGTACAAATGGAAGTCCTACAAAACTAAACGGATTTCTATGAGTCCATGATGGTCCTATCACATTACTTCCAAATCTTGATCATAGCCTTGAAAAACGGGTATTATCATCCGACTAGTTTGCTTGTGCAATCCTCTCAAATCCTGTCATGAACCCCGTAGTCCAGGGTTGCCCCCAGGTTTTCTGCTGCCAATCTTGACGATCATGGCCACCCGCTCGATCTTTGGAAGAGCGCCCAGGCTTGGGGGCGAAAGGTTTCAGGAGGTTTCAACGTTTTAAGGTTTAGGGGTTACGGTTTCAAAGTTTTAGGGTTTCAAGGTTTTCGGGATGTGAGGGAAGAGGATTAAGTGTTTCTTCATTTTGGTTGGGGGTGCAGGAGTCCCGGCAACTATGCGGTCTGAACAGAAACGCATACAAGGCTTGACATGCCATCAACGCATCGTTCAGTCGTGAGCACACTAGACATAAGGTTTGACAAGCGATCAACACATCTCTTACTCGTGCACATACTCACATGGAAACACAACGCAAACCCACGTCATACTCCATGCATACTCAACATACCTCATACATAGCAGGCAACCATGTATAATACCATGTTTTTCTTTGGTGACGAAGAAAATCCTGGTCCATCCTGCTCCCCGCAGCGTTAACGATAGTGGTGCCATCCCGCGTCAGTGTGTTGCAGCCGGCCTATGCGGGCCCTTTACCCAGGACGGGCTGACTCCCTTCACAACCACTTTGGGCGGGTCGCGTGGGAAACAAAGACAGTGCTAGCTTTCAAGACGACAAGCCTTTAGCTATACCTCTGGCCATAAGCGCATTAAGCTGAACATGTCGCAGTTGTTCGCACTTAAGTGGCAATGCTGCTTAGCGGCCCAGTGCACAGGTTTACGCACTTGAGTGAAGCTAGCATGAGCATACACAAACATCCTCGGACCTCATGCAGCAATGCTGCTAAGGTGCACTGCGCAAAAATGCTTGAACTTCGAAATAAGGATTCTTCAGGTACATCCATTACGTGTACTCACCGTTAGCTGAAGTGAATGGGTTATCACTCCGCTCCGCTGCTTGGCGACATTCTTTTTTGGGTCAGATGCTGTAGACCCCAATACTTCACAGTCCTTATCATGCATGGTCTCAAAAAGAAGACCCCTAATCCTTGAAACCCCCCTATCATATGGGGTTTGCGAGCATTGTATCGGCACCTCCTACAGATCCTCGTCGCGGACCCTCCTTGTGTAGTGTCCATTCATAAATGTATTTGGTTTTGGAAGGTGCTGACCCTAAATCCTAAACCCTGGACACCTTAAACCCTATATCCCCCTATTTCTTAAGAACAAGACTTCGACCAAATACTCGGGAAGCTGAGGTAGTCTTTCTACTTACCTTTGGTTACGTGGGAATGAAGGAATGGAAAAGAAAATGGATACTACTATAATGGGGTTAGGGTTTGGGGTCTACAAGGAATGGAAAAGAAAAATGGAAAGTACAATAAAGGTGTTTCATTAGGGACTACTACAAAGCTTCATTCCTAGGCAACCAACGGCAAGTCTAAAGGGTGGGTGAGCACGGTAAGCACAACAGGAGAGCATGCAACGTGCAACGTGGACGTTCCATGTGTGAGCTCGTCAAAATACTTCACAGAATTCTCAGCAAGGGCCCCCTATCCTGCCTGTGGACCACGCTCAGAATTCCTAAGCCCCAAACCCTAAATCCTAAACCCTAAACCCTAAATAGTAGTTTCCATTTTCTTTGCCATTACCCCAATATTACCCCAATATATACCCTATAATCCCTATATATAGCCCCAATATAGACCCCATAATCCGTATATATAGCCCCAATGTATACCCTATAATCCCTAAACAAATTCTTAGCATCACTGGCATATTTCCCTTGAAGAGAGGCCGGCCTTCGGATCAGCGTGGCATGTGCAAAGCTCAGAGACAGATGCGGGCATGCATGTGTGATCCCTTCGCCTAGTTCACAAAAAGGGTTTAGGGTTTAGGGGTTTAGGGTTCCTTTTGGGATTGGATAATGGAAAAGAAAATGGAAGCTGCTATATAATGTAGGAACTGTTGAGGAGAGATTAGTCAGAAAAGTGCAGTCATACCATGACATGATTGAAAGTATTGAAGACTAGACAGATATGAAGCCTGATTTCATTTTTGTGTGCATAGTGCACCTGTTCGCTTTTGCTGGACGGGGGTCACATTCTTTTGTCCACAACAGGCCTCGACCCAGATGCCCATCGCAGTAAAGTAGTCTCCATCCATCTACCATAATTGTGTACCAGTCGCTGTTCTGTTTTCCATTCCCCATTATCCCTATACAATCCCTATACAATCCCTATATAACCCCGTAACCCCTAAATAGTAGTTTCCATTTTCTTTTCCACTATCCCAATAGATTCCTATATTCCCCATTTCCAAGCAAGTGTTTTTGAGAGGTTCTTGCCTTGACCCTTGACATTTTCATCGGGGAATGCTTGTCCGTGGCAGGCTGGCTGGAGCTTGTGGGTTCAAGGTTTTGAGGCTCTAGGGTTGGCAGATTTGAGGGTGTTGGGGTTGCAGATGGTGAGCTAAAGTCTAAACCACTTAGAAGGGGTTGTGTAGTGGAGCATATAGAGGAGTATGATTGGGTTATGATGCGGGTTACTAGGTTTTTGTAGCTGTAGCTTATATAGGCCTAGTGTTCCATAGTGTGCGCCTGTTTTCAGCAGCCCCCATGTATTCATATCAGCTAGGTTGAGAGCGCAAGCAAGGTCCTGACGCCCATGTGTGCTGCTGTGGCCGTGAGGCATAGCTTTTATCTACCTTTTGTCCTTCCTCACCGCTGCTGGGCCCTGAGAACAGCGAGACTTCGTGGCGGTAAGTCGGGAATGAAGGACTGGTAGTTTCCATAAACCTTGGTACCCCAATCTAGACCCCCAAAATACCATAATCCTTATCTCGGAAGCCCCAAAATAGTACCCCTGATTTTGGGCATAATCCTTATTCTATTCTGGGAACCCCCAAAACAGGACCCCTAATTTTGGGCATAATCCTTATTCTGGGAACCTCCAAAACGGTACCCCTAATTTTGGGAAGCCCGCGAATGCATCCCTACAGCTAGCAACACTCCCCAAAGAAAAGTTGACTATTGTATCCCATTCCTTCTTTCCCTGCTAAGTCAAAAGAGACCCCAGGCCAGTGACGCGCAGGAATTCCTCACATTCTTCAGGGTGCTTGTGACAGGCTATGGTCATGTCGCTGCATTCTTTCGATTGTCAATTTCAGGTGCGGAGTTCGATGCCCGCAGATGCCGCGCCATCACAAAGTGAAGGCTCCTAGAAAAGCGAATCACCATCATTTCTCATCATTGGTGCAAGTAACAAATGGTGTATGAATTGGCGGTTGCGGTTTGATCGGCTGTGCAAGTTTCAAGAAACGTGCAATTCCTGTGTAATTCCTATATGCTCCTAATGTCGGGGCCTCTGCATTTTGAGACATCCTCATGTGACAGCCTCTCGGGTCATGCAAACCTTTTTACGAGGTGCCGCAACACCTGCGCCTGTTGATCTTCAGCACATGGTCAGCGAGGCTTGGCACAGAGAGTTGGTAGAGGTTAACGGTTTTTGGGTTTAGGGGTTTCAAGGTTGAGGTCGTATATCTTGAGCTCATGTGTCTTTTGGGGCCCATTCTGGGGGTTCTGCAAGAAAGCTGCTTGAATCCTTGGGACATACTAGGCTGACCCCAATTGATGACAAATTCGGCTTTTACATGATCCATATCACTTGATGTCAGCGACTTGTGCCCTGCAGGTGGAGACGACGGATTCTCCGGAGTCAACGGTATCTGTCGGAATTCAGGCCCGTTGGCGCACAGAGCACCATGAATTGACTTGCAGTGTCTTGCAAGATTCGCCCTATGTTGGCTTTAGTTGCTCCATTTGGACTTCCCAAGTCCTTAAACTAAGATCCTAATAACTTTGTCTGATCTCCACATAACCGCAGTTTGGGCTCTTCATAGGGCCCCTTCTCGATTCTGTTGATAGTTCGTTCTACATTTACACTTGGCTTCCTTTGGCATCTGCATAATGATGTGCCGCGCTCTTAAACTCAAAGCTTACAACCCAGCCCTGAATCTCAAACCCAACACCTCAATGGATAGACGTAAACCCGGGCCTGATGCCTGAAACCCGAAACCTTAAGCCCTGAGCCGCAACACCTACACCCCAATCGGAAAAACCCCAAACCCTCAAACATGAAACACAGCGATTCGCCTGCAATAGCAGCAATAGCAGGTGGACACGCGGCAGCGCCAAGAAGAGGCAGATCCAGAGGAGGACAACGCTTTCATTCCAGGGTTTGAAGCTTTAGGGTTTAGGTTTCAGGGGTTTTGACATTTTTGTTCAGGGTTTTGAGTTTATGTATAAAGGAATTACATCTGGCTACAGCATGCAGCAAGCAGCGTGTCAAATGTAATGTGGATCGAGATCTTGAGTAGAAGTTTTGCATTCGGCCTTTCTGAGTTTGGAGTCTAGAACGTGCACATATATGTAACCCCGTATAAGCCCATATAGTAGTTTCCATTTTCTTTTCCATTATCCCAATAATTCCCAATGTAAACACAGCAGAGGTGGCACGGTGCCTGACCTGCCAGTCAACATATGGCCCACACCCGACAGGATCTTCTTAACATCATGGGCCTGCAGGGCAACCCTGCGTGGATCTCAGGATGCAGGCCTTGCTTATCATAATCGCAACTTCCTGAATGTTGGCACCAAGGCCACCAGGGTGTTAACCGGAACAACAACACGATATGGTTCCTCGAGTCGTTTCGTCAAGTAGTAAAGGAGGGGAAACGAAGTCAGACAATTTTATAGGTTTGCAGACCCTCAGAAGACAACCAGGTGTACAGTTCCTGGAAGCGGTTCATGAAGTCTAGGATCCCCTTACGAATTGTGTGTTGCTGAGGTGCGGTCCCTATTGAGCATGCTGACCTTTTTGTGCGCCAACGTGGGGGGCATCTACACATTTCTGGCCAACCTGCCTGGGGTTGACAAGAGTTTCTCGAAGCATCCTGCCCTAAACCTAGATGTCGTGGGTGTCAGGGTTTGCCTTCATACTTGGGCCGCTGGATTCTGGTTCGGGTGCCAGACACCCAGATTCATGAGACCTGGGCATGCCAACTTTCATCGAGCTGCGTTGCATGGGGAAGCCGAGGCTTCCATGGATCCAGGCTCCATCTGCCAGTCAGTTTTGGCCAGTGCTTCCTATTCCGTAGTGCGACACTGTTAGGCCCTGGCCCCAGAGGTGGTCATGGTGCTAACATGGTTCGTGACCCAGGGCCTTCGAGGGCATGTCACAGTACCCACGGTACGTAGCACGTTGCAGGTCTTCGGGTGAGGAAAGTTCTCGCTCAAGAGGAGCGAGGGAGGACCGCCAGCCAGCGGGCAGGCAGTGGAATCTTTGCCAATTGTATGTTTTGTGAAGCAGACCCTGAGCATCAATCCCTGAGAAGTATTGACACTAGTGATAAAAAAAAACAATGTCAGTAGTGCTAGTCATGACAATACCATGTGTACATATACGATTGGCTCCCACCTTCTTCTCCACTCAGAGATTATAGGGTATCTATAGGGGTTAATATTGGGATGATGGAAGAGAAAATGGAAACTACTATAGTATATTGGCCTAATATACTATAGTAGTTTCCATTTTCTCTTCCATCATCCCAATATACACCCAATATACTATAGTAGTTTCCATTTTCTTTTCCATTATCCCAATATACACCCAATATACTATAGTAGTTTCCATTTTCTTTTCCACTATCCCAATATACACCCAATATACAATGGTAGTTTCCATTTTCTTTTCCATTATCCCAATATAACCACTTATTGGGGTTATTGTTTAGTTTTTTTTTTTTGGTCAGAACTGTTTGCTTTAGCCAGGCCGCCTCTTGAGCTTCCTTCTGCCGGAGTGAATGCGCTGCTGGACTGGTGGGATATAGTCGGCCTTGCTTTGTGACTCTATATATCCCCATGGTTTAGGGTTTAGGGTTTGGTGTTTGGGGTTTGGGGTTTAGGGTTTAGGGGTTTAGCCTCTAAGATTTAGCTAAGCTATGGCGTACATTCCTATGGAACCCCTACATCTCCTTAAAAGGCAAAAAGGTAAGAATCCCTGCAACCTCTACATAAGCACGTTCCATTTAGTTTTCCGTTTTCTTTCCCATTCTCTATTATTGGGGTTATATCCATACTGTCACTTTACCCCAAGCCTCAAAGCAGCAGCTTCCGTTTGTTTTCCCACTTGAGTAGTATTTTTTGGGGGGGTACTATGGTACCCATTATAGAGTAAGATTACATCCTACTTTTGGGCTATAGTATCTTATATAAGCTTTTTGCAGCTCACTTGGTTCTCCATGCTTGTTTACTTTTTGGATCATGGGAGCTCAGCTCTAAAAGGCTCTAGGAGTCTGGGAATCCTGTAAATAGTAGTTTCCATTTTCTTTCCATGATGCTAATATAACAATATATAAGCCCCACAATACTATATAATCTCTATATAAAAGCATTTCTGAGTCTCAACATCTTTGCTGAAGCAGGACCTCTGCGCCTTGCTATTTGGGCCAGTGTCTCAGGGCAGAGAAACCAAGAGCATGCCGTACCCCGGTACACTCCTGACGCCTATGAGGTATGGTGCCCTGGCGTGTTGCATGACGGTACTTGCCAAGAACTCAGAGATCCTCTTTTGAGTTGGCAACCGGGTGTTTCAGATGTGCTGGTTCCTGCGTTGCAGTCTAGATCAGCAGGTCCAGATTTGTGGGCCCCCTGTCAAGCACTCCCTACCATGGTACAGAATGCTTGCCCACTAATGGGCGGATGCAGGCACTGTACAATGCGGATGCTTTGAGCATATTGCTTTTCTCAACTTATCTGGCACAATCCTCAAAAGGCACCCTGAACCTCTGCATGTTGCAAGGATCGTCGACGTCATCCCTCTGTTTTGGGAATACTCTACATTCAAGACTCTAGACCAACTTCCAAACCCTGTATTCTACGCCCTTAACCCTAAAGCCGACCAACCCCAAACCCAAACCCACGCCGCAAAAGCAGACGAATCCCAAAACCCTATACAAGCTGCCAAGCCCAACCCACCACTCTAGAGCCTACCAACCCCAAACCCCAAACTCGCAACCTAAAGTTTCCATTTTCTTTTCCATTATCCCCATATAACCCCAACATGGATATAATATACCATAATACCATAATACCATAATATACCAGAGTAAAACCCCAAACCAGGTGTTGGGAATGCTCCTCCTTGGAGCTACCACTGGACGTGGCCAGAATTCGCGGTGTTGGCAGGCAGTGTGAGTTATTGGTCAAGATTTTCCGAATGTTGACGATTTTCACATTTTTCAGGAATGTTGCGGAGTTTTTCAGAATTGTTAGGATGTATACAGCCGATTCTGGGTACGCCGGGATGGTGCAGGGCCTATTGGGATAGTAAGGTCCCATTCTTATGGGGTGTTTCTGAAACTCCGGTACCATTTTGAGCGTTTTGTGGTGGAGGGCTTCTGTGGGGTTTATTGGCATTATTGGGGTATCATGGTTTCTTTCGGGGTGTATCCTGGAAATGCTGAATTCCAATTGAGCTGTTCATTGTTTTGAAATGTTCAGCCCTGTTCAACCAAACCAAATCCTGAGCCTTGTGGGAAAACTCTGCTGTAGCGCAGGCCTGTCGAACTTTGGTGGTTGCTGCCAAGACTCACTTGTTCGAGAGCGTTTCTCACTCGTGGCCCTGGCCCAAGCATTGCCGTCACTGCAACAACAGTTTCAGCAGAAAGAATCTAATTGAGCCGCAGTCGTAATCAAAGTAGCAGAGAAGGAAGCATCGTAACAGCGCTGTGTCGATATGATGATAGCCTCGTGGTCTTGTGGCTTGCAACGTGAAGAAGTGGGACTTTGGATTTTCGCCAGCCCTTGCAGTCCTTCTTCGAGCCCACAGGCTGTAAACCCCAACCCCCTTACCCGGACACATGCTCAGGTAGTCTTCTGCAAAGATTCAGGGTCGACCATCTCTAAGGCAGAAACTTCAGCGCCTGGCTGTGGCCTTACTACAGTTGGTGCCCGGCCCTGAGCTGTGTGCCACGGTCTCACTGTGCTGAATGGTTCAGGGTATAGAGCAGCGGGCAGAATCATGTTTGGTCCCTCAGTCCTTACTTAGCACAGGTGGGAAAACGCTACCGCTTGAAGGCTGCAACAGCTGCAACATGTTTTTGCTGAGGGCTTTTCCCTCGTACGTGGGACACTTGGTGCTATGCCTTCTCGCAGGGCCAGTGCTTTGTCCTGCATTCAGTATGGGACTTCCAGAGCAGGTTTCTCTAGGGTTAGGCGTTCTTCAGGAGGCAGTTTTGGTTCACGGTCAGGGCTTTTATGCGCGTCTCAAAATCGACTTCTCGCAGTTTTGGTTGACTGGTGAAGTACGATGAGAGGAGTACGGGTCCTTCTTTTTGGGGTCTTATCATGTTAAGGGTCCGCATGCCAGGTTTTTCTTCCATGCTTGTACCAACTCGTGGCAAACTTGCTCTTGGACGAAGCTCGCCTCTATATAGCCCGTATATTCCTTTTAACGGTAGCGCGGTAGCCCTCAATTTCGGGAAACCCCCAAATCCTACAAAATCCACAGGCATCTTCTCAACAAGCAGAGACCCAAAGGTCAATTTGGACGGCGGATGGCGATGGGAGCTATACTCTCAAATCCTGAAATGGGGGAGTGAAAGGGGATTATATAGGGGAATATTAAAATAGGGGGTGTAAACGGGGATACTAGGAGTTTAGACTATAGCTCATTGGGTTTCTAGCTGTCCATTCTGGAATCCGTAGAACAGGGCACCTTCTTTTGTATGAGCGAGCACATTTTGATTGTGTGCTTCCCGGAGACATATCATAGGGTCCCACAGGGGAGCCCCACAAGTCAACCCCCAAAATAAGCCCGAAAAAAGCCTGAATAACCTCCAAGATGGCCCCTACACCCTAAACCCTAAACCCCCCAAAACCCTTCATAAGCTATCTGTATCTGTCCCTCAGTCTGGGTTTGTGGTGTGGGGTTTTCTGTGGGGCCCTATGAACACAAACCCTGAACCCTCACCTTGAAACCAGGTAACTGGCCAGGAGCCGAAACCGTGTAGACACCCAAAAAACCTGATATAGTTATGATAGAAGATAGTATATTATCCGTCGTACATTATAGTAGATTGTAGTATAGTCTAGTATAGTCTAGTATAGTATAGTATACCATATACCCCCAACCTTAACTTATGCTCTAAACCCTAAACCCTAAACCCGAAGCCCGAAACCCGAAGCCCTGAGAATTTCGGCCAGGTGTTGCACCTCTCCCAGCAAGCGAGAGCGTCGATCATGAGTGCCAACCCTTTCATAACATTTGCTGGAGCCTAAGCTATGCAGGTTACTTCTCAAACCTGGGCCCCTGCACAAATCCTTAGCATGTCGTTATTGGTTCCCAGAAAAGGATCCAGAAGTTTGAGAACAACCCAGCTGGCTGTTAATGGATGACCAGCCATCGCTGCGTGCGAATCATGGAACACTGTACTATATAGTAGTTTCCATTCTGTTTTCCATTATCCTTATCTAATCCCTATATAACCCATATACAATCCGTATATAGCCCCCCCATTTTACCCATTATAGAGGTTTCCATTTTCTTGTCCATTATCCCTATATAATCCCTACAGAACTCCCCGATAACCCATTATCGTAGTTTCCATTTTCTTTTCCAAGGTCATGCAGCTCTTCATTGGCTACGTCCACCTCTGGGGCTTCGCGTTCATGGAGGGTTGTGTTGCAAATGCAGGCTCCCTACATTGCCAGGGATTGCTACAGGTTACTGTAGGTTCCCGCGTTATACTTATAAGAGCAATTGTAGTGCGAGAAGTCATAGTCATAATGTTACTAGTAAAAACCGTAGTGCTAGTAACAATGCAAGAACAGTGTTTTGGACACTGTCTCCCGAGGTCCTCATGCCCGACGTGGTGCAGTGCTCGTCTCAGATGCACGTATGAGCGCTGGCATGCCCTGCTAGCCGAAAGACGAATGAATGAAGCTCTTGCCGCCGCCTGGACTTTGCAAGGAGAGCTTCTTTGAATTTCTTTGTGGGCGCCATCAACTGCCACAGGTTCGATCCTGAAAGACTGTACGCTGCAAGACAGACCTTGTGTCAGTAGACTCATCCCTGGTTAGCGAGGCATAGTAAAGAGATGGATCTCTGCAGTAGTATCTGTAATAATACCATTTAACATCCCCGATAACCTCAAATATCCGTGTGGAATCTTTACATAACCCTAATAGACTCCCTGATATTGGAGTAGTTTCACTCGTATTTTCCATTCCTTCATAACCTTCTAGCCGCAGGTAAGAAGAAAAAGGTTCTGTCAGAATCGGTCGGGTTCTGCCCCCACTCCGTAGCAGCTCGATAAGATTTGTATTATACTTATATATAGCCCGAAATATGGCCCCTAATCCCTAAACCGGAAACCGCCCCTAATACAGACTGTTACAGGGTAGGAGTAGTACCCAAAGTATAAGCATGCAGCGAGGCGCTTGTTCGGAACAATGACCGAAGAGCTGGGTTGGCGGCTTAGCCTTGGCATCAGCCATTTGAGGCTCAGGGTTTTAAGGTTTAGGGTGTAGGGGTTTAGGGTTTAGGGGTTTAGGGTTTAGGGGTTTAGGGTTTAGTTCCCAAAATTGGGGTCCCATTTCAGTACCCCTTGGTATTAGGTGCCGTAGTATATTCTATATGCAAAAGGGTGAAACATATTAAGGATAACCCGTATGTACCCTGGGGAGTACATCGTTTTGTCTAGGGATCATATACGAGATATATAGTGTTTATGGTTTAGGGAATGGAGAAAAAGCATGTTTTCCACGTGTTTGCCCGTTCAAGAGGGATTGCTTGTTTAAAGGCACAACCAGGCAGTGTGATAGTTTGCAGAACAGCCAAAAATACAAGAGTGGTCTCGATTTTCCTGACGCCACATGACTTCCCTAGCCCTAAAAACCCTGAACCCAAAAGCGACGCCATTGAAATCGTCCCGGTAATCCAATTTGGCTATTGGTAGAACGCCATGTGACAGCTCCGAAACTGAGCCTCGCGTTTAGGGTTGACTGTCAGCCCAACATACCATGGTTCCAGTGATACGGAAGTTTGGGAAACCAGTCATGTATTGTAAATCTGCCGGCTCGCCTTTTAATTTTGGGGTGCTGTGTTGCCGAAGAAAACGGCTCATGCGCGATGGAACTTCTGCTATCGCAGCGTCTTGAAGCACAAGCACCTCGCAACATTGATCTGGCCTGGATGTTATTTGCTACGTGTCACGCAGAAGTCTACAGTCCCCCTTAAGTAGATAGAATATGGCTCTGGGTATATTATAATAAGATCCCATATATACCCTATATTCTATTTACTTAGTCCGTTGGCAACCAAACGGGACAGTTCCCGGGGCAGCATCAGATCGCAGAACCTCCCAAGCTTGGGGCAGCCACCAGCTGCAGCTGCAAAATCGCACAGTTTCCAGGAACAAATGGGAGTTTCCCAGAATTTGGGGTACCTGTTGGGGGGTCCCTATAATACGGATTATTGTATCTTTAGGGTCTATATTTGGGGTCCGCGTATTTTGGGAAACTACCAAATATCACTAAGGTACTTGTAGTTGAAGCCAGTCAAGACGTGGCATTAGTGTGCTGTGCGTCCTTGGTCAATCAACTGCAGGCACAACGGAAGCAGCGCCTGGCCCCCATCTTCACCGGTAGGGATCTCATGTAGAAGCCCTAAACCCCAAGCCCTCAACCCCAAAACCTGAGTGATGACCAATATTCAGTCCCTGGCTTTCTTGTATAGTCATAGATACCTCAGATACACCTCAACATGATATTGGAACTTTTTGAGGCACCTGCATCACTACAGAAGGGTGGGAGGGACTTCCGTTGCATTGAGGCCGCTGCCCCCGCACTGGGCAACCTTGAAACTTTCCCTCATTCACGCGATGGCCTGAGCAGTTGAAGGGGGATCCTGTAGTAATGGATAAGGACATGGAAGCTACTATGTTGTATGAATTTAGGGTGTAGCTTTTGGGGTATTATGAAACCCTGAATAATAGATATACGCAGGGAATTAGTTTAGTGGTACATGCGGGATATACAGGGAAGGGACATGTTGTTGACATTACATTCTGGGGAATGCGTGGGATAATATAGTCCCACGATCATGCAGAAACATATGGAGAGAACCGGGAGCATGAAAAGGACACTTGGATGTTGCCTATGAACTCTTAGAACGGAAGCTGCAACGCAGGTTGCCGTGCACACGCCTCTTGTCTTTGCGGTGTGGTACCTGCCGGCCTATCTGCTTGACAGGCTTCTTGCTCAGTTGTGGCCAATATAGACCCCCAAATACTATACTCCTTATTCTGGGAACCCCCAAACAGGTACCCCTAATTTTGGGAACCCCCCCATATACCTACCGACATACTGTGGGATAATATGAGAGATGTCTCATGGCTGGACTAGTGTGCTTGGCAGGTTTGTTGGCGAGGCACTCTTCCCCATGCTGCTCGTGGACCAGACAGGCATCAATTGACTTCAATAGTATGTATAGATATAAGTATAAACGCTATCGCGCACCTGCCTCGGCTGTTGGGATTCTTCGAAGGGGTTGGCGGGGGTGGGCGGTGGACGGGGAGGGGGTCAGCAAAGCGGGAGTAGAGGAGGTGTTTAGTGGATTCCAAACACCCTGTGGCTGGACTAGCCTCGGCGAATAAATGTGTATAGGGTTTAGGGATTAGGGGTTTAGGGTTTAGGGTTAAGCATGTAATGGAAACGAAAGTGGAAATAACGGTAGGATCCAGAGCTTCGTGAGTTGAGAATAAAACGGGACAAGAGGATGGACAATGAAATGGACAGTGGAGCATATATACTTAGGGTGACTACATACCCAATATATGCCCTATTATAATATAGTAGTTTCCATATCCTTTTTCCATTATCCCTATATAATCCCAATATATACCCTATAATCCCTATATACTCGTATAATCCCAATAGTTTCTATTTTCTTCTTCATTATCCCTATGAGCTCATATAGTCGTTCCCATGGCATGGAAAGAGTTGAGCTGTGTCTGCTCTGCAGGCGATGTCATCGAGGGCCTTCACAGAAGAGATCCCTTCTCCCTGTCTGGCCATGTCCTCATTTTGAGTCAAAGTCTGCTTTCTGTGACATTTCTGTTTGCCACAGCTTGATTGCATTCCTCAGCACTCCGTTGGCTCTCTAAGACCTGACTCGCGTTGATTTCAACCCGTAGTAGGCCTCTGAACTTCCAAGATCTCAGAGCATATATCTGGGCTGGACTCGTTTGTGGAGGTGTGTGGAAGTGACATTCTGCGGTTATTCAGGCAACTATTAGGAAGCTGGTTCCACGAGCCCGGCAGCGCGCGAAAAACCTTTTGTCTTTCCGTTCAAACAGGGGTGGCTCTAGCCAGGGCTAGAATTGCTTGATTTTGGGATGTTGGTTCACGGTTCTATGAATGTTCATGTTAACCTGGCATGTGTGTCAGTGTGTGTAGTAGCTTACTGAAAAGTTGACATGTCGAGGCCCGATTGGCCCACCCATTCGGCAAAGCGGCCGGGAGCTTGTAGAAGGGCAAGCCCGAACTTTGCGGATGCTCGCATTCTGGGCCATGTGGGTCTTGCAGACCAAGAATTCGCAAGCCTTTGTTTCGATGTGCTGGGCTGGGATGTGTGTTTGCTTGCATTGCAACACGAGGCAAAGCCAAGAACGGCGGAATCGCGGAGGGCCAGTCACTGTTTGTGCTGGAGCTGATGCAGCTCTATGTCCTAGCAGTGGGCCTAGATCTCTGAAACCGGCTGCTATAGCTTGCTCACGACCTTTGCCTGTGGAGGTGCTTCAATGCATCCGCATTCTGGAGACCTCACCGGTCATGACGAGACTTATCTCATCTGGGCGGCTTGGCAGAACAGGTCCCGGACTCCTGACTCTGACTGGTTGAGAGTTTCTGTTCCCATATCTTTTGCTGCTGCGCATGCTGCGCTAGCTGCTCAGGTTGCGATGCGGTCTTCGGGCGATTGGCTTCGGTCACATTCTGGCCACGGCCCAACAAGCAGGGTGAGGCTCCGCATGTGTAGCAAATGCGCTTTGTCCAAGGTGGGTGAGCCACCAGCGCCTCCTCAGGCTGAGGGATGCATGCGACGAACTTTCCCCTCATTTCTAAACAGAAAGCTCCGCAATCTTCAGGCATCTCAATCGGACTGGTCAGACTGGGTGGTGAAGCCATGGAAGTTTCTAGGAGTCTTCGTCTTAGTTGACCCTTTCTTTAGGAGAGTCTGCGTGGGTGCCTGTGGCCGACATGTCCCTGTGGATACTGCAGCAGAGGTTTCTGGGCTGGTGGTCGTCATTTGCTGGTCTGTCATGGTTGACGTCTCAGCTGCTTGAGACGAATCTGTGCGCAAGCCCATTTTCAACTGCTTAGGGGACCCTCCTCTGCATGCATCCTAGCCCAGTTCTGGCCATGAGGCGCTGGTGCTGGCTCTACCGCTGGCTACCGGCAGGCCAGCTGAGATGTTACTAGTTCGCACAACGCCAGCTGGACCAGTGCAAAGTGTTGCAGGCTCATCGTTGGGCTGATACTATCCTCTCAGGCAGGGGGAGCTTGCAATGATTCGAGCTATAATCTAAACTCCTGAAGGGGGGTTATAGAGGGATTATATAGGGGACTATTATACGTGTTACTTAAGGGGATATTAGGAGTTTGGACTATAGCTCACTTGTTGTTGTGATGTTGCTGCATGTAGCCAGGCCAAGCGTTTCTCAGACTTTCTGCCACTTAGCTTGGGCCTGAGGCATGCCCTGCCTGGCTACCAGGCATTGTATTACCCCCTGAACCCAAAACCTTAAACCCTAAACCCTACCCTATACTACACTCCACTATCCTCCTCTTCCAGTCCTTCCGCCTTACTGGCATCATGGGGATAATGGAAAAAAACATGGAAACTACATTATTAATATATATCGGTATAGTATTTTTAAGTGCCCCAGTGTGTTTTGGGCACCATGTGAACACGAACG